ACTGATGGGAAGAATCGAAATGTTTTATGACTCAGTTTAAGCAATTCCCATAAGCACCTTCCCAACTCCACATATTTTTTAAACCTAATCGAATTTAGTCATTGCGCCACACATGCGGCTTTTGCGTCGCTAACCAAGCCCCGGTTAGTTGTAAGCTATTCCACTCCCTTCCTACCACAACTCCACTCAACTGCCCATCTTATACCAAACAACTAACATTATTAAAGCTGATAAATATAATACATTAGTAACAGTTAATCCACTTTCCCCACTGAAATCAAACCGATGAGACCGTGTTGTGGTTGGGGTTGTCTACTATATCAACAGTTTTATGGCACTTACACCGTGATGGTGATTAGTTATAACTTGGTGGTGGCTTGCAGTTTAACATACCGATTGTGTTGCACATTCTCGTCATAATCCGGCGGTAAAAAGCATTGATGCGTTTGGAGCTTGGGTTTGAGCAGCATGCGTCGCACCCCCCATATAAGCGCTATCACCATTATGCAGAGTACGGAAAAGATCGCCACAAAGGCGATATCCAGACCGGTGAACCTGTGGAAGTCCTTTTTGTACACTGTGACACATTTGGGTTTGGGCAGGTTGATCGCAGGTCCAGGCTGGATTACGTTGGCGCATACCCGATAAGGTCCTTGGCTAAGATCCACGAAAGTATATCGAGGGTCTTCACAGGACAGTTTTCTCTGGGACAGCAGAGTGTTTTGATCCAACAGGGCCACGTTTAGTTCACACTTTGTACTGTCTGGATACACCCCTACTTGGATACTGATACTGCCAGAAGTGGAAAGGTTTGCTTGTACTGAGTCGACTTTGCTCATCAGCCCCGTGAAGGAATTTTGAGGGATCACGGTATTTTGAACGAGGGGTATCATGTCGGAACAGCCCAGGATCAGAGATACATCGTCAGACTTTTCTGAGCCAAACAGAGCTACACAGTAGCGATATTTGTGGTTCAACTGCAGCGAAGTTGGTACGGCCACCTGCAGGATTCTGGGGTCGGCCATTTCACTCGAGTTGCATTTGATTGGAAATGACTCCAGCATAATCTCATTGGGCCCTTCTTCTTCGTAGATGAAAATGGCATCGCAAGTATAGGGACTAGTTCCTTCCTCCACACCCCAGCTTAATTTGATCGAATTCCCGTCATATTTCAAATCCCGGAGGTTGACTTTAGCGCGATAAGGAGTAGATAGAGGGGCCATGATGGATTCCTGCTCATCTTCGCCACATAGCAGCGAATCAGCAGGAATGTCGACTAGAAGGCCATTTTCCAAAGAGGGCGGAGTTGTGCAAATAGCAGTCGACTTGTCTTCAGCTTGTATAGAGGAGTTCGTTAGCCAAACACTGAACTCTATAAGGCTGCAGTCGCAATTCAAAGGATTCTCCAGCAGAGTCAGATGCTTCAAAACCGTCGTTGGCTTCAAGGCGTCGCTGGCAATAATGGAAATATCATTATCGTCCAACTTCAGCACCTTCAAAGACTTCAGCGGCAGCACCAGATCGGCAGTCAAAGCCCTCAAAAAGTTGTGCCTCAAGTCCAGTTCAGTCAGATAACTGAGGTGTGCTAAAGACGCCCCGGACACCGCAACAATTCTATTATGCGCCAAGTCCAAGCTCACCAAGGTAGTCAAGTGAAGAAACGCATGATCTTCGATCACATCGATCAGATTGTGCTGCAATCTTAGCGAAGTCAGGTTTGTGAGCCCTTGCAAGGCCCCCATTTTAATACTGCTCAAAGAGTTGTGAGACAGCTGCAAGTCCTTCAAACACTCCATCTTGGGGAAGGTTTTCGGCCCCAACGGCCCCACTAGTAAATTCTCGGACAAATCCAGATCTTCCACCGTGGAAATCGGGTTAAACTTGCTGATCACCGGCAAAGAAATCCGGTTTCCTCGCAACCGCAAAATCCTCAATTGGGGCAGATTGTCGAAGGCGTTTGCCGATATTTTCGTAATGAGATTGTTGCTCATGTCGATGAAGGAAAGATTCCGCAAACCCTGAAACAGAAAACGTTGAATGTTTCATGCGCTTTTCTTAATCAGTTATTTACATCAAAATTAATTCCTGGGTTTCAGTCATTTATTGTCTCTATTTATCAATTAAAATACGTTTCGGTGTATTTTTCCACCATCATCAGTTTTTATGTGTAGCGTTGTTGCTACTTTAAGCCTTGGAACTACTAAAATCCAGGAATTAATTTTGATTTGGAATGGAAACACAGTCAGGAAAGTATGTACAAATCAGTTATTTAGTACAAAGTGTAACCCCGACTGGCCGACTTTATTTTATATGCAAATGTGCATAATTCAGCCCGATGTCTTATGGAAAATTTATCGGATCGAGCTTGAAAGTGAATTTATATAAAGCAGGGTTTTGGAAGGTTCTAATACAGGGTGATTTAAAGTTCGCGTCATTCCTCTGGGGGTGTTGATGATGTAGAGTACAAAAAAAAAAACAGTTTACAAGATCAGTGCTTTATTTTATCAGCCCTTAAAAGCAATGAAACTACTTTCGAATAGCTCTGAATATACATCGAGGAATTTACGAGGCAAAAACATTTACCCATATAACCGTGAGCAACCGATTCATTCGTTTGCGTACATCAGTTTATTTCTGTTATGTCAAGTTTTTAGTTTATCCGCTTTCGAAATGGTGAAGTTAACGGAATGAGAAAAAATCGAAATTCTCTGCATCAATCTGATCACGGTGGATCGTCCTCTCGAGAATTTGAGCATGTAAATCTGAACGGTCTGTTCGAGATGAACCTTTTTTTTCACATTTTTATACTAATTACCTTAAAAGAGCTCCCATCCAACGTCTTCATCGTGTTTCCGGACAGATCCAGTCGATCGAGCTCCGGTAAGCTTTTTAGAGCTTCTGTTGGAACCATTACGAGTCGATTGTTGGGCAGTCCAAGCGCCTGCAAAGGCGACAGTAAACCTATACAGAAATAAACGCTGCCACGTTGATTGAGAGAAAATGAAATCGAATTCACCTTCAAAAGCTGTGGGATGAACTTCGTGTATTTCCCCCGATGAAATTACTAGTCCATGGAGGGAAATTCCCTCGAGAAGAGGACCGGAGACGATGGAGACGTTTTGTACTGTACAGTCCAAGAGGGATATGGAGGCTGTTCTTAAGGAGCGCAACTTTCGAGCTAGAAAGGAAGAATTTGGAGGGTTTATAGATGGAGTTTTTTAGAGCCTTCAGTCTCGACGTAAACGACGAAAAGCCGGGAAACTTTTAAAGGCTTATTCCCGCTAGGGAGCACTGATGACAATAATGACCCCTTAGGGCAAGCTAACGATTTTTGCACAACTTTGGGTTGGATTCTATTTAGTAGCTACAGTTTGTACCTATAATTTGCATAGCTGACTTGTCGCCGGTGCACCTTAAGGTATGAGGCATGTCGCAACTGCATTCCACCACCGGTTGCTGAGTGATTTCTGGACATCTCCAGTCTTCGAATCGCGTTGGAGGCGGAGAACCCGGCGAAGGAATTGCTGAGGTACCGCACCACCATATTAGGGAGAGGCTCAGCCACCACATCCTGAAACAAACACAGATATAGATTATTACCAACTATTATATACCAACTAGCTTCTGGTGGTTGACGCGATGTATTTGAACTTCTTTTGCATCAGCAGTGGCAAAAACAATGCAAATGTGTCATTTTTGATAAGCACTTGGGTGAAGTCATTTGTTTATTGCAGTTATTCCAGTTGATCAATCGATTGCAACATTCACTGGTTTCCCTCACAATGAGTTATTTAGCAGTTGACTAAACAACTAGAAGGATGGCGTTAAAGCTCAGCCTAATAAATCCTCAGAGCATTCAAGCCGACAAAGGAAAAGACGCACTTAATTAGGCAGTTTAGGAAGATTAAGCCTCTCAAACTCGCTAAAAGCTCAAAGTGTCTGTTGCGTTTGATTGTCTTTGTTGAAAACTTGAACTAAAACAACATCGCCGGACACATTTCTAATCGATAATGTTAATACGTGGGAGTCCCATAACTAACCACTCGAGATTTGCTTAACGAGTGAATGTTTAGTAATTATCTTGTGGTTGGTGCGTTGAAACTATTGGGAAATTGTCAATTCAATTTTAAGTCCGGTGGAAAAATTAGCCGAAGCAAACGAACCGATTTGGGCCACTGCGTGTCAAAAAACGGCATTTTATGTATTTTATTGAACGACATCGAATGGCCATTAGAGACAAAACGCCTCCACCATTACACCTGACAATTTCTTCGCTCAAGTTGGAACAGAATTCCCAGAATGCGACATTTCGATTGAGTGGGCCCGCTTCGATTGGCGTTAAATCACAGTTGGAGTTCGGCATTATTGTTGAATCTCAATAGAAACGGAAAATAGGCAAAGTCAATAAAAAATGTTGCAGTTGTTGAATTTATTCCATGTTGGAACCCACGATTTCCGCCTATCGGCGTTGGAACAACTCATTGATTTCGACATGGCGTTGCACAAGCCAATGGAAATCTAAGTGCATGTTCATTAGTTATGCATTTCGGGTTTCACCAATATGATTAATCAGCCAATAGAGCGGTTTCTGACATTTATCAAAGGATGATAGTTCAACAATTGGGCGTTTTCATCAAGCAGCCATCGGCAATCAATGCGATCCTAATCAAAGGTTAATCAGCCATCTAATAACGTGTTTCTTCGGCGTTGCTGATATCCGATAGATATAATCATCGCATTTCGTCGCCTGATATTTTAATTAAGCAAAGCCCATAAACGGATTATTGGATTTACCTGAGGCTTGCAGTTGCACGCTTAAGGAGGTTTTTGAATTCCCAAGTTTCCAGGAAATCCCCGAGTACAAGCTTTTGTAAGTTCCATGTATGGTTTGATGATGAGTAGTTTGTATATTCGAAACATTTTCGGTTTTTCACAGGCTTGTAAGCTAAAGATGCTGTTGTTAATGTATGAATGTGAATATCCATTTATTGTCATCCACACGGTTCGTTCTTGTGAATTCTGGAACTCCTCACGAAATGATCTTAACGGTGCCGGATGGAGTTGAAGCCATTGCGAAAAAACCCCCCATTTGCACCGGTTGCAAAAAATAAAAAATCCACGTTCGGAACTTTGGAGACGAAAAGTTCCCACCGAGCGATTTGCTTTATCGACAATACGCCCGGGTAAAAATGCATTGATAAATACACAGATGGTAACCAGAAGTTATATGAAGTCCGAAAAAGGAAACCGATTGAAAACGGTGGGTAATGCGAGTTGCAAGAGCGCGGAATGCTGAATCAACGCAAAGATGGACATACATGTGAGTGAAATTAAAACCAGTAAGATGAAATCTCTGCTTTATGAGACTCGGAGACGACAACAGTCTTCGCATTCATTTTATATGGCTTTTGCCCTTTGTTTTCACTTGGCAAATGATAGATTGGTCGATTTTGATTGATTCAAGAAGAAATTGATGAACGAATGACTTTATACTGCACACAAGATGAGTACATTCTAATTGCTTTCTGACGTTTCGCTCACATATGCGGGTGCATTTTCAAACTGGGGAGAGATTAATAACTTATTGTACGTACTTTCCTGACAGTGTTTCAATTCCAAATTAAAATCAAATCCTGGGCTCTTCAGTCATTTATTGTCTATTTATCAATTAAAAAAACGTTTCGGTGTTTTCCACCATCATCAGTTTCAATGTGTAGC